GCTCATAAAGATTGGGCCATCTCACCTGTCAGTATCAAGATTAACCATCGATTCTTTCAGTATGTCAGTGTAAGTGTGGGATCAGTAGCAATGGGTAAATCAACAGTCTTTTGTAGGTCATGTTAGATGTAAAAAGGAGAAAGCTGTAAAAGCCACGAGAGGCCAAAGACAGAATTCTCAGTCTGATCAGTTTTAGTTTTGTGAGAGGTATGCCTATGTTAGTAACGTTTGGTAAAGATAGCTCAGGAATAGACAGATAAGTACTGTTACATAAATCCTAAATTCACCTTGCATCGAAGCTCAGAAAATTGATCCCCCTGTTTCAGCCATTCATTTATGTGCCTGGAAAAACAGAACACATTCAGTCTGTGCTTAAGCATTCCCATGTTTCTATACACATTAGTTTTTATTAAAATATGCAGTCTCTGTCAAGACAGTGCATCTCAGTGGATCTCAGTGCAATCAGTGTGGGCAAAGATAGTTACATGGATATTGTTCTGCTGTGTTTGCCTGTAGAAACCTTAAAAGTGCCCCTAGATGTAAGATGCCCTTCATCCAGAAACTTAAGTTTCAACAAGTTCAGATGATAAATGGGCTTATTGGGCACCTTGGGACATTATCAGGAATCCTTAGGTCTTCACCAACTGGGTAATGACTATCCATTGTATTGTAGAAAAACATTTTTAGCAGTCAGATTGTTTTTCTATTTTTTTTTCAATGCCTATGGGCATCTTTCTAATGGAATCTTTATACAGATCACGTAGCTGCACACTCACCATATTTGTTAGGTTATACACTCCATACATTATATTAGATTAGAGAGATAACAAACAGTGTTCACAGCTGTGTGTCAACTGATTTGACAAAGCGTTCCTGTATTTTTATTTTATAACAAAGTATTTTTCCCTCATTATTTCACTAATGCTAATAGATTAGTATTCCAATCAAGCAAAGTTGTATAATTGTGCCAGACACCCATGAAGAAAATGTTTTTGGAAAGCGTTAAGGTACCCACTCACTAGAGATCATGGACTTTCTCTTCTTAAAGCATAAGTTCACCTTTTAAAAAAAAATAATAAATGCACGTATTTTTGCAGGTAAAAAATTTGCATTTATCATTTTTTTTTTCTTTAGGAGCTTGGAAAGCATTGCATCAGCAATCAGTAGATTGCTGGTGCCATGCAGAGCTCATGTAGACTGTGTCGTATGTGGGCAGGCAGTTTCCCACTGACGGGAAGAATCAATGAACTACCAGAGCGCTGCTCAACAGCACTCTGGTAGTTCATTGAGAACTACAAGCCGGCATTGTACAGGATGTCGGTACTTGTAGTTGATTCATTCATGGCCATGCTCTTTTCTCCTCATACTGTGGTCACACAGAGGGCTCGGATCGCCAAGTCGCTGCAGGAACGGGAACATGTTACATGTTCCACCGTAAAAACGTATCCTTTTAGTGGTGGTTCACACTGCTACAAATTCTGTGCGGATCAGATGCATTCAGAAAAGCAGAGATTTGCATGTAATGTCAAAAAGCATTATTTCCAATGAGACCTGTTCACATTATATTGTAAAGCGCTGAGCAAACTGTTGGCGCTATATAAATCCTGTATAATAATATATGCAGTGTGAACTTGATGCGGTTGAAAAAAGTTCCTTTGGGAGTTTAGTGCGGGTATGGTGCAAATTTCATCTCTTGCTATGCCCAGTCTCTTCAGAAACTGCATTCAATCCGCACTTATCACAGCAGAAATTGCACTGTGATACCACATTGTGAAACCACATCAGATTCACACCGCATCAGTGTGAACCAGCACTCATGGTATGCTTAATGCCAGCTCAAATTACAATTGGACTTTGCATGATGGACAAGCTTTTAACAGGGTTGTACAATGCTGGCTTTTTTCTACTCATTCAGCAAACAATAATTGAAATACTGCTACAAATGTCCAACTCGTGCGGTTCTTGTGCTTGTCTGCTAAATTTGCTTTGTGTCTACACAGCTGCAGAATTTCAAACAATTTTGTCAGGTTTGTGGAGATCATGCAAAAGTTTGTGTGTAATTTTAGGTAGCTTAACTTGTTGCCACCCGCGCAACACATATGTTTGGTAACAAAAGAGTTGTCTTCAACCACTTGCCCTCCAGAGGATTTACCCCCCCCCCCCCATTCCTGACTAGGCCATTTTTGGCAATACAGCGCTGCTTTACTATAACTGACAACTGCACGGTCATACAATAATACACCCAAACAAAATTTATGTCCTTTTTCCCCACAAATAGAGCTTTCTTTATTCGCCTCTGCGGTTTTTATTTTTTGCGCTATATAAAACCCCGCCAATTTTGAGAAAAAACTATTTTTGACTTTTTGCTATTATACATGTCCAGTAAAAATATTTTAAAAATCAAATTTCGTAATAAATTTAGGCCAAAATGTATTCATGTCTTTGCTAAAAAAAATCCAAATACGTGTAAAGTAATTGGTTTACGTAAAAGTTATAGCGTCTACAAATGGTGGTATATACTGGAATTTGTTTTCTTATACTGGTAATGGCAGCGATCAGCACCTTATACCAGGACTGCGATGGGCATTCTAAAACTGGGAGGGAACTGACTATTGTCACTGACATACCCAGTGACACCAGTACAGTGATCAGTGCTAATAAAAAGCACTGACACTGTACTAATGACACTGGGCAGGAAGGGCTTAACATCTGGGGTGAGCAAAGGATTAACTGTGTGCTGTTTTACTGTGTGCTGTGTGTGTGCTTTACACTGTAAGCACACTGCTTTGTATGGCTCTGCTATGTGTGTAGGAGCTGACAGGGGAGAGATCTGTATTGTTTACATACAGGTCTCTCCCCAGTCCGTGATACACGGTGATACACCGTCTTTTACTTCACTTTTGATGGTAATGGCTAACAGAACAAATAGAGAGGGTGAATCTACTTAACAGGAGCACAGACAGCAATAAAAAATGGGGTTTTAATCCTGCTCCACTTTATCTAAAACTCAAAAAAGAAACGTTTTACCTTTTAGTTACACTTTAAAATATATTGAAAATAAAACTGTACTATGGTTTCTATAAAATAAAGAATTCTTAAACCCTTTTTGGGTTTTTTTTCTGGCTAGTCTCATTGGTGAAATTTTCCCTTACTTTTTGCCCTGAAGACACTACAAGAATTAAGAGAAGTGAAATCCTTTCTTAGCGAGTTGTCACTGGAACAGGTATCGCCATTTGAGGATTTTCGTTCACCTCTGCTGACAGCTGTTACAATTTGGATCTCCCATCTCTTTCTCTCCAACTGATAGCAATCACAAATAGGGATGACACAATTGCCCTGAGTTTGGTTAGAACTGGGTTTGGCAAACTTCAAAGAAACCCCACCAAAATCAGTGGTAGCCTAATCTGTCAAAATGCACATATTTTGGCTAATAGGCAAGGAGTTGTCAAAAATGTAGCATGGGGGAACACTGTCCTGATGAACATGTACCAATGCAAAAAAATGTAAAAAAGTCTGGCAGTGAATTTTTTTAAATGCTTAAAGTCAAACATTAAAATTGCCCAACTTCTTTAAATAACGTGCTTGTGTGTCCTAATCCCACCTGTTAAGGGGCATATTATTGTGATGTAAAGAAAGAGCTGAAACACAACTGACATTTTCAAAGGACAGGAGTGTTTTAAATTGCTGGCAAATTATATGGAAAAAAATGTCACAGACCAGCATGCAGGCCCCTTCAAGGACCCCAAAATACATTGCTACCTCCTAGTCATCTGCATTTTATTTTGGGGACCTTTGGAGGCCATGATGCCAATCACCTTCCGATTTGTCAAAGGAAAAAACCTGATAGACCCGGCTACTCCTCACTGAATGACAGCTACCTGAGCTCTCATCAACTATCTAAGGGCAGAAGCAGGATTATTTGTGGCGTCTTCGATCAAATATAGCTATGGCCATATTTCGGCACTGATGTCACCGCTATTCCCATCCCTTTGCCTATGTGGTCGGGATTCCTGACCATGTAAGCCAGTGATGCCAGTGACATCAACAGTTGCTAGGGACAACCTTAGCAACCATTGACAGTGGGAAGCTGTCTTATATAGAACTGCCAAACGGGGCTGAGTGGGCAAAAGTTTAGGTGTTTGTCTGAACTCCTGAACAGCCAAAGTTCAGTCCGAACCTAAACTCGAATCTAATCACAGCTAGAAAGGATGAATCTCTCTAGCAGAGGCATTCAAAAGCTGACAGCGGCTGTCGCCCTTCCAAGCTATCCAAAATTGCAAAATAGTTTGGTCTTTAGATGCACTTTTTCTTGATAATGTCCAGATTTATTTTTTAAAACGAATAATAGCAGTAATATAACATAAATGCCATGTGCTAGATCAAGCACTTAATACGATTCAATTATTTCAATTGAGGGATCAAAAACTGGGAATCAAGATCCCATATTTGTTCCAAAGCTTTTTGTCTTGGGTTCCCTAGATTGTAAAATATGGCACTCATACTAATGTTTTCAATGGAAAACTTTTGCATATGACAGCTACAATTGTAGAGAGATGCACACTAACAACTAAGTCTCAAAAGAAAAAAGCAGCTAAGGAATACCTAAAAAAAGGTTTAAATTGTCTCCCTAGTTCCCTTGTTATTGGTTAGCTGAATGTGTCTGCAGTGTTCTACCTGTACCTATGAATATGATACTCATAATCCAACAGTCCAATTTCTGGACCACCTAATGTCTTTAGGTAAACATTCTTGATATGAATCATGTGCCTAAATGTCCTAAAATCTAGTTTTCAACACCTTTTCTGGCAATGTAAGCTGTGTTGTATGCAGTTTTGCAGTAGCTGTCAGCATGGTGGAAGGTATAATGCTTTAATCTATATTACATATATAGATATTAGTCATAATATTAGTCATTGTCAATCACATTAACTTTTTTTCTGATTTTTTTTTTTTAGGTGATCCAAAACTTCCCTCTACCTCCTTTCCCTTCTCTCTCCATCATGTCCTTTTTTCTTTTTACCCTGTTGCTCTTACCTTCAGTTACTGTCTCCACATCTCCTTCAAATTCTTCCACCTGTGGACCAAGCCGTGAACTAAATGGAGAATGTACTGATGGTGTTTTGCTTCCTGCCTGGTTGCCACATCCTCCGTCAACAGGTGATCGGGCAGCACGGGCCATTGTATATTTTGTGGCACTGGTATACATGTTCTTAGGAATGTCCATCATAGCTGACCGATTTATGGCATCCATTGAAGTTATTACTTCACAAGAGAGGCGAATCACATTCAGACGCCCAAATGGGGAGGTGACAGTAACAAGTGTACGCATATGGAATGAAACCGTTTCCAACCTTACCCTGATGGCATTAGGTTCCTCAGCTCCAGAGATTTTACTTTCTATCATTGAAGTTGTTGGAAGAGGCTTTGAATCTGGTGATATGGGACCCAGCACTATTGTTGGCTCAGCTGCATTCAATATGTTTGTTATAATTGGACTCTGTGTGATAGTTGTCCCTGATGGAGAAACTCGTCGAATCCGTCACCCACGAGTCTTTGCGGTCACAGCTTTTTGGAGTGTCTTTGCCTACGTTTGGTTGTTCCTCATTTTGTCCTGGTCAACACCTGGTGAGGTAGAGGTATGGGAAGCATTACTGACTTTCTTGTTCTTCCCAATATGTGTCCTACAGGCCTGGATAGCTGACAGGCGGCTGTTATTTTACCGTTACTCAGGAAGAAGAGAAGGAAGGGCAAAGTACAGAGCTGGCAAAAGCCGAGGAGTTTTGGTTGGTGCAGAAGATTCAGTTGCTCAGGAAGATGCAGGAGAGATGAGAATGGCTGGAAATGAACAAGCTGCAGATTTTGAGGAGGAAGAGGAGGAGGAACGGAGAGATATGGCCAGAGTGTTTAAAGACATGCGTCAGCGTTATCCTGGTAAAGATATGGAACAGCTTATGGAACTGGCAAATTATCAGTCACTTGTTCAACAACAAAAAAGCAGAGCATTTTATAGAATTCAAGCCACAAGGATGATGATTGGTGCAGGAAATGTACTAAAGAAGCATGCAGCAGATCAGGCAAGGAGAGCATTGACAGATGGTGGGACCAGAGATGATGGGGGTGGGCGAGGTGAAGAAGAGGATGGGTGGACAGAGGTGGAATTTGAACACACACATTACCAGTGTTTTGAAAATTGCGGGACAGTTAGTGTTTGGGTCTTGTGCAAAAGAGTGAATGGTGAAGGGGCAGTTCAGGTAGATTATAGAACTGAAGATGGCACAGCCAATGCAGGCTCAGACTATGAATTGGCAGAAGGCACACTTGTGTTCCAGGCTGGTGAAACCAGAAAAGAACTGCGTCTGGGCATTATTGATGATGATGTATTTGAGGAAGATGAACATTTCTATGTGCAACTGAGCAACCCACGCAGAGCCAGAGGTGTAAGGGAGGGGCAAGGTAGAGTAAGGCTTGGGGCTGGTAAGAGAGCCACAGTGACTATATTTGATGATGACCATGCTGGTATCTTCAGCTTTGAGTCAAGCAGCATGAGAGTGAGTGAGAGTGTAGGAACCATGAGGGCAAAAGTGGTACGAGGATCAGGAGCAAGAGGGAAAGTTGTGATTCCTTACAGAACAAGCGAAGGAACAGCAAAAGCAGGAGAGGACTACCTGGAAGTGGCTGGAAAAGTGGAATTTCAAAATGATGAAACTACGTGAGTATAGTTTATCTCTCTATTATATAAACAAATAGTCATATAGAAAAAAAAAAGGGGGTTGGTTTACAAATTATTATATCACGACAGGCTGTAATGTATACATTTCATTGCAGTAATAATGTGGCTGTATTCTATTATTCAGTTGTTATACAAAATTTCAGTTGTTTTATTTTTGAATGGATGTTTATTTTTTTCTTTATTGAGGGGAGCAAAAATTGTAGAAATTCTTAAACAGTCTGTTTATACTGCTGTCCACAGGAAGTTGGGGCACTGTCAAACAAAAACATTAAGCCAGCTCCCATATAACCCCACCTCCAACTGTTATGCTTGGTTTGATGCCTTCTTTTCAATTCTGCTGAAAAAAAACTCTATATTTTGCTACCCCTTTTATTCTTATTTTTTAATTTAACATTGAGCTATTCTCTACACAGCAGCTATATGGGTTGGCTTATCCTGAGCAACAGCCTTTTAGGCTTTACTTGGACTGCACAGGACCGAATATTGCAGGCCTGGTCAGGAATGTGACCTTCTGAGACTGGGCTTTGCATTGTGGTACCTTTTAGACCTTTATGTACTGTGTTACTTAGCCACAGATTGCTGTCCAGGTCCAGAGCTGTGACACAGCCTCTGGTGTGACCCAGTCTCTGAAGGCTCACATAATGACTAAGCCTCTGAATATGGTAAGGCTAGCCCGGAATGAGACCTTTGAACGTTAGGCTCTGCATTGTGGTGCTTTCCATACCTCTGTGTGCTCTGTTAGTTAGATGCAGGTCCAGATATATGGCCCAGCCTCTGGTGTGACCCAGTGGCAGAGGACTCATGTAGGCCACTTAGACTGAAACACCAGGAGCTCACCACCACCACCACTCACAGTTTTTAAAACTGGATCGCTTTCATCTTACAATGGTAACACTTAAGGCTGAGGGAAGTGAGACCTGATGTCATCCATTAGGTAAATAATTATGTTTGCACACTCCATGCTCTTTCTCTCACAATTCAGATTAGAGAAAGCATCATCCCGCTGCTGCTCCTGCTTCTAAAGCACCTTGTAGATCATCTGTACTCCGGCTTCATGTCACTGCCCCCTTATAGTGACTTGGTCACCTCCAGACACCTGCAACCCTCATCAGCACCAGCTACATAGGTTCATGAGTATGCAAGGCTTTGCCTCACTTTGGTCCTAGTTTTTTTTTGCTTTGAAATACAACACGTGTTTTCAAAAATACACAGAGGGCAGTGCCACTGCAGCGAGTGACCTTAGGCCATCCTGCTCTACTGCTTCTAGGGGTAATTTCTTGGTATCCCATGAAGGAAGTTTGCAAAAAACATAAAAACAGAGATCCTACCAGGTCCTGTAACCATATATCCTAAAAAAGAGGAGGGAGCACTCCACAAAGATACAATTGACCAAAACTAAATAAAATGGACTTAAGCTCACATCTCTACCCAAATGCAAAAAAAATGTATCTATATCAAATACAGACTAGTAAAGCATATGTTTGGTAAAAATCTCAAATATTAGTCAGTACTTTTTTGTGATTTTTGGCATACATATGCATTACAAGTTGGTATTCGGTGTAGACAAAAAATGGTTTTTCATTTGGGTAGAGGTGTGAGCTTAAGTCCATTTTATTTAGTTTTGGTCAATCCCACGAAGGAAGCAATGCCTCTAACATATTTTCCACAACTTCTATTATTATGGGGTCATCTTCATCTGAGTCTTCTATACTTCTGCTGGGTGGGGCTGAGTCATCCCATGCAACCACAAGGCCCCTTATGTTTACTTCAGACTTGTTGTTGCTTTAAACACAAATAATGAAGCTATCTGTTCACAGAGGCTGTAATTGCTCTGATTCATATTCTGAGTTCTCACAGTCTACTTTGAAAAGATTTTATTTGAGCAAATTCCATATGACCCAGATTTATAAGCAGTTGTTTCTAACCTGATTGATGCAGTAAGTTCTACCCCACATTTGGAGGATCAACCTGCTTTTTCAAGCCTAGGGTCTTTTAGAGCTCTTACAGTTGCAAAGACCTTCCTAACACACACTGTGGGGTTGATTTACTAAAACTGGAGAGTGCAAGCTCTGGTGCAGCTGTGCATGATAGCCAATCAGCTTCTAATTTCAGCTTGTTCAGTTAAGATGTGACAAAAAGACCTTGAAGTTGATTAGTTTTTATGCAGAGATGCCCCGGATTTTGCACTCTCCAGTTTTATTAAATCAACCCCTGTGTATTTAATACTTTCCTCAACGAGGACTGGAGACAACTTAAAAAATTTTGCGCACTTCTTGCTAATGTGAGCCTTTTGTCTTTGAAAATGAATTTATTGCTAGTGGTCTCTGCCCACTGTAGACACTCCGCACATACACCTTAACAAATATACGACAAAATATGTTGTTGGTGTTCTTACCTTAGAAATTTTACTGAAACACAGTTGGACTCTCTACTTAAGTCTCACTTAACTGGATTGATTCTCTCCATCTACTGTGGGCGGTGACTTTGCTTTGTGAAACCATGTCACTATATATCCAATCCCTTATTAAGGACCCCTCCATCAAAAGGGCACACCCTTATGTCCTGTAGCTTTTGGAACAAATGTCTGGAGCCCTGCACTTCAGCTGTCATTGCCTCTTACAAGTATCCAAGTATGTGTCTTGCATAGGGGTGATGTCTTTTCACTATGTGCCTGGGACATTGGGGATATGCTCAGGGCACATCTGATTCACTTACCCTTTAATATAAAGCATCTCTTCGAACCTGTCTTTGACAATATCATTCCTGATATTACTGATAGTTTAAATGTCTTCCTGTCTCGATAAAGGTAATCTGTGAATAGGGCAGAAGAACCCCTAACTTCATTTACAACTACAGTCTACCATAGTCTACCTCCCACTCAGGCTGCAGATCTCCATGCCAGAAGCCATCTGTCTCATCTGCTCAGCCTCATGCAAACTTGACAAGTATTGACCTGTTAGTTCATCCTACTGAATCCCGTGGCACTTTACCTATCACAGTTTAGATGTTCAGGATTCTCCCTGTACCTGCCACTCTAGACCATTGAATCAGACACCTCCACAGCCTTTGGGTACTGTTTGGGTTAGCTGAGATCTTTGATTCCATCTTTATTTGGAACCTATCCACTCCTTTTTTCATGATCTTCCCCTTCCACAGGTGACTCAAAACCATGTAGAACTTAAGGAAGAGAAATTTACTAAACCTGAAGTGGCTAGAACGATAAAATCTCTCAACCCCTCGAAGGCCCAGATGGTTTTATTGGGCATTATTACAGAAAATATGCGGAGGTCCTGACTCCTCACTTATGTTTGTTTTTCAATTATATCAGATGAGGTAACCCCTTACCTCGCTTTGAAAACCATGCCTTTATACATGTAATTTCCAAACCAGGCAAAGACCCCAGTGATTGTGTGAATTACCACCCGATCTCACTTATGTAGACCTCAAAATAATGACTAAAATACTGGCGAACCTGTTGAACATTTTCTCTCTAAATACATTCATCCTAATCAGGTGGGGTTTGTCTCAAGTAGGCAGGTTCCTGACCAGACAAGATGCATTATGGATGTAATTTCAGCACTGCAATCTAATTGGGACAATAAAGGCTTCAGAAAAGGTTTGCTGTTATCCCTTGACCTGCACAAGGCCTTTGACTCCCTGTCATGGAAATATCTTTTTAATGTTTTGCAACGTTGCAGTTTCGGACCAAATTTTCTCAATATACTTCATACA